GTGACCCCGCTCGTCCCTCTTGCTTTTGCAGAGCACGTGACGTGAGTTTGTGACACACCTTGTCAGGGGAGGCAGCACTCGGACATGGGACTTCTTTCAAGAAGCGACTCTCATTTTGCTTTGAAGAAACATTTTCTTCTGTTGCTTTAGCTACTTCTGTCACATTTGATGTCCTCTGCCCTGCAGTACCTGATGGTGCAAGTTCTGGTGTCTTTTCCAGCTCTGTGGGACCGTGTCTCTCAGGAGAACATGTCAAACTGACATCTGATGGAGCTGTGAAGTCACTCAAAGCTTTTGAATCTGAATCGGGGCAAGAATTCTCAGCCTCCGGTGCGTTCACATCACTCACGTTAAGTCCTTTCTTCATCTACAAATGCAAATTGAAAAAAACAAACAAACAAAAATTTTCAATGAAATTTCAGATTCCTGCACACTTCACCTGAATTTAAAAAAGTAATAAAAATAAATTTAAAAAATATTAAAATAAGTAACACCTTACAACCAGTAAAAATTTTCAGTTCAACTGTTACTGATTTCCTAGAAATTACATATAATACAGAGTTCTTTGCAATGAGAAAGAGGTCATTGGAATTAAAATATAAATTTGAATGGTGGTCCACAACTTATTTTTGTATGGAATGTATGTTCCTGGTCTACAGGTCAAACCCCAAGCCAGATGACTGTTGCCACATATGCTCCAGTAAACAGTGCAAAGCAGTGTTGTTTGCCACCTTGGTAACTCAACAAACTCAGTGTTAACTGTACTTGTTTAAGCAAGTTGGTTGCATTACAACTGTTTCTAGGACAACTCCTTGATTAGATGTATTTATTAGTCTTTTCAATTTAAAATTCTACTAAATCCATCACTGAAGCAGTAAAGGAAACAAAACAGTTTCAGTATAATTGTAAAGCACACAATAGAATTACAAATTGAGAAGGTAATTTTAATTCTGTAATCACAAGGTTAAATATAGATTATTTTCTATTACACTGTAAGCTTGCAAATAAAGCAAGTTCTAACACCAGGGGTTTGTTAATTTGTGTTTACAATCCAGTTGATTCCAACACAGCTACAAAAGCAACACTGTGGTCTGTCTTTTGCATATAGCAAAACAAGCAGTGAAAAGCAAGTCCCCTCCCTTACAGTGAGTATCACTAAATAATCAAGTATCAGGACACATAGCATGAAATACCAGCAAATGCTGGTTGTGCAGAGTTAACTGGTATTAATTACAGAAGAGTTAAACCTCAGTGCTTTCTCAAAACGTCTCTAAGGAGAGGTTTTCTGTAAAGCTATGAGGTGGCTTTGGACTAAACACTACCTGGACATTTTCTACAATCTCCTGGACACGATTCAGTAAAGCTCTGTTCCGGGAGTTCCGTTTCCTGGTCTCTAGGTCCAGTGCTTTCTCCTTATATTGTTGTATTTCCTTTTTCTTTTCAAGGTTAAGCTGCAAAACAGAGTGTAAGAAACTGGTTTATATCACTAAATGCAAATTTCAAGACAGAATTACAGAAGTAAATTAGAAAAAAAACTCAAGAGAACAAAACAATTAGAAGAATACCAATCATCTGAGACTTTGTGCACCTGTTAAATTCCAGCTTTTAAACTATGTCAGTATTTCCTATTTTCACTTTTTTTTTTTTTTTGACACTGTTAAACTAACTCACATGTTCAGTATTTGAAATGTCACTACGGTTTTATGTAAAGTTAAGCCCAGCTATAACATTTGTCTGTTGAAAACCACAAACATTTGTTCTCCCTTTATGAAGATAACAAATCTCCAGAAATTGCAGGTAATGCAGTCAATGTGGGGGGAAAAAAAAAAGTACATTTTACCCATTTACTTTTTAAGATTAAGGTTAGGAATGCTTAGAACACACAAAGCAGCAGGCCAAATGATGGCTCACCCAGATATCTTCAGCAGAATCATTACATGTGCACATCAAAGCTAGTGCCAAAAGCAGAGTTAGCACACCAGGCAGGAAAGGGGGAAAAAGGCCTTACCAGAGGGGAGAGCACAGGGACTCCATAGAAATGAATGAGGGAGATATTTTTGTGCTGAACAGTAAAGGAAGTTTCTCCTTTTATTGCCTCTTCTTGGATTCTGGAAAGATGCTTCTTACAGAATATTTCATAGTCCTCCATCTTCATGTTAACTAAGCTGCAAAGAATAATAACATTACTCCTCCATATACCTCAAAGACCTTGAAGAGAAAACAACATCACAACTATTTCTGTGTCACTATGTTTCGGGAAGCAAATTCTACACCAGAAAACTGAATCAATTTCTCTTCTTCCTATCATTCACAAAAGCTGCAAAGCTGTTCCTTATTTTCCCCATAACAACAGAATCTGCATATATGAGCAAAAAATGGTGATCACAGGTACGTGGAGAAGAAAACAAGTGTTGAGATAATGAGGATTTACTGAACTACACCTGCTATAGATAATCTTAATTTCCATCAAAGTCTAAACCTTTGAGATCTTCCACAACAACTGGACAGATCCTACGCAAAAAAAACCAGTAAATAAAGTTGCAGCCGAATTTTAAAAAAATAAATAAATAAAAAAAAAGAGGGGGAAATAAACGCTGGTATTAAAGAAAGAACAGCATTTATGATTAGAGGGCTGACAGGCATTTGTGTCTTACTCCCGTGAGTCCCCGTCCCGATGCAGAGTATACATACGTCTGTATGAAGAGACGCCAATATCTACGTGGAAAAACAACACCCCAAAAATAAATTACAGATAAAAGCGCCTACATATCTGACACTGCCCGTCCCCACCGGAGCGAAAACCCAGAGCCCAGCAGCGCCCGGCAAGGCCTGGCAGCGCTTTGTTCCCTCGCTCCGGCCCGAGACACCGAGCCCGGCCCAGGCCGGGGCCGCTGCCTCACCTTCCCGCGGCCCTCCCGGCCTCGGCTGCCGTGACCCCGGTCCCCCGCACGGCCCCGGCCCCGCTCGGTACCTGCGCGGGGCTCGCACCCGGCCGGCCCCGCTGCCCCCGCGCTCCCCGGCAACCGCCGCGCACCCGCCCGGCCGCGGGCCCGGCCAGCCCCGCCCCGCTCCGCCCCTCGCCCGCTGCCTCCCCCGCCACACAGCGACAAACCCCTCGGCTCGGCCTGGCGCGGCCCGCCACACAGCGACAAACCCCTCGGCTCGGCCTGGCGCGGCCCGCGACACAGCGACAAACCCCTCGGCTCGGCCTGGCGCCGCCCGCCACACAGCGACAAACCCCTCGGCTCGGCCTGGCGCGGCCCGCGACACAGCGACAAACCCCTCGGCTCGGCCTGTCGCGGCCCGCAGAGCGCTCCACTCAACAGAGCCCGCGGGGCAGCTCTGCCGTGCTTAGGCGAGCGCCCAGCAAAGGCAGCCCCGGCTCAGAGGGATGAGAGGGGATGGAGCGCCCTCCTGCTGCTCTGTTTTCCCACCATTTCCACCCGTCGCTCTCCCAGACAAGTTCCCCTGCCAGCACAGGTGAAGTGTGTTCTGCTTTATCACATTAAATATCACACAGCTGTGCAGTCCTTCTATAGTCAGGACAACAAATGTGCCTCCGCGGGTATCAGTTTCACGGAACGCGCTGTGATGAGCAAGATAAACGTGAGCACCTGTTCACGGTCTCTGTCAGGACAGCATCCCGGTGTCATTCCAGACACCTTATCCCTCTGGCCCAGCCGGCAGCCAGCCGCCAGTCCAGCCAGCCCAGCAGCAGGTAACACTCACCCAACAGGCAGGTCAGGTGGAAGGAAAATCCACGCTTGTTTGGCAGGACTTAGCCCAAGCAAAATAAATTCAAATTTATGGAAACCTCTAGTTCCCAGTGAGTATTTAGAGCTGTTAAGGCTGTCATTCTTGTTTCAAAAAACAACTTTGTCGTCTGTTACCTCTTCAATATGTTAGAGATTGTTGAGGTTTTGGGGTTTTTTTAAAATCTTCATCTTTAATCTTAACAAATGCTGTTGTTTATCAAAAGATTTTTTAAATATGTATGACATCTAATTAGACACTCCATTATTTGTTCTGTGTATGCATATATCTCTCTGATTTTTCTTCAGGTACACCTAGCAGCAGCACAAAACCATAAACAGAGGAGAATATCTGAGATGCTCAGAACCAGCTAGGACAGTATATGACAAATATTCATCTCAGCTATTGAAAAAAAAATGAAATCCAGTTTAGAAGATTGTCTGGTGCCTGTTCCACCTCTGGTCAGCAAGAGTTCCTCGCTACAAAGCCAGTTGCTTCACATTCTCCCCCACAAACACACACACCAGGAAAAGGGTCAGAGTCCTCATTTAGGTTAATACAACCCTAATGCAAGCTATTTCCTCAGCTTTGCTATTCCGCTCCTAGACTACAGAAACCCAGTTTCTACAGCCTTCACGTCACTGTTTTCCTGCCTTGTTTCTCTTCCCTCTGGATTCTTTCCAGCTGTTTACGCTTGTGTCAGGTGGTAAAAGCGGCCTTCCCTGTCCAGCCTCTGTCGGGACAGGAGGGCACTGCCTGCTCCTCCGGTGGCTCCCGGGCTCAGGGTCAGGCCTGTGGGCAGGCACGAGTGGACAGCCAGCTTTGTAAGATATACAATACGTAACGTTGTATATAAACCCACAGCAACTAAATGGAAAATAATCGCTATTGATGCTGTGTTTCTAATCAGCTATCATAGCTGCGAAAGCCCTCACCCCTCCCCAGACACGCAGCTGCCGTGCGACCCTCCAGACGACGATACTTTCCTCCCGCTGACCCCCTTTACCCCTTTTTAAGGCAAGCCCCGCTCGTTTCCCGGCAGCGCCGCCGGGCCCGCCCCTGAGGGGTTACCCGAGCTCCGCCCTCAGCGCGGGCGGGCGGGCGCTGCGGGCGCTGATTGGCTGCGGGCGCTGACGGCCGAGTGCTGATTGGTTGGCGGGGGGCACAGCGGCGTTGCCGTCGCCTGTGTGCTGGGGGGAGGCGGCGGCCGCGGGTCCGGCCCCGATCCCGACCTGACCCCGGCCCGGCCCGGCCCGGCCATGCTGTGCCACGGGGAGGGCCTGCTGAGCTTCCTGACGGCGCTGCTGGCGGTGGTGCTGGCGCTGAGCCGCAGCCCGGTGCTGGCGTGCCTGCTGCCGGCCGGGCTGTACCTGACGCTGCACCTCCTGTCGCTGGAGCCGCCCGAGCCCCGGAGCGCCCAGCGCGTCCTGCAGCCCCGCGGCTCCGCCGCCCGCGTCGCGCACCGCGGCGGCGCCCACGACGCGCCCGAGAACACGCTGGGCGCCATCAGACAGGTCAGCGCGGCCCGGGGGGCGGGCAGGGCCTGGGCCGGGCGGGGGGAGTTGCGAGGCGAAGCTGCCAAACGGTCCGCGGGGCCTCGCGGAGCCCACATGGCCCGGTGGGTGAGCGGTGAAACGGGTGGGTTGTGCTCGACGATGCCTGCAGGTGCCAAGCCTCCCTCATCCTCAGTATTTCCAGATGTTCTCCCGACATCAGCAGGAAGCTGATCGGAGGCTGGTCGGCCCTTCGTCCCCAAGGGGATTCAGATAAGATCTGAGTCCTGGGGGAGCTGTTATAGCCTTGGTGCTGATGGATATTTCAGCAGTGAAGCCGTTATGAAATACTGTCTTTTGCCGATGTAGCAACAGCACACAGAGAGAGGACAGCAACTCGGTAGCAGGTTGTGCTTTTTAAACCTCGAAGATCTGTAATGAGAATCCACAGTTATGGGAAAAATCTGACACTGAGAGAACTTCACTGTGTGCAGCCCTGCCATGACTTACTGCTGCCCCATCTGCAAGGCATCAAGGCACAGCCAGGGGTCACAATGTTCCTGAGAATCATTTGAAATCGTGATTAGCAGTCTCTAGAATGCAGTGTATCTGTGGGGGTGAGATGATGTTGCTCTGATGGTCTCTTACCTTTGGGTGAGGGAGGGCTCTTTGTTCTGGTGCATTCTGAAGTTGCACAATCCTTACAGGGCAGACACCTGTAGGGTTACCTCTAGTGCCCACCTGGCATTTGTCTTTCTGGTGCATTGTCCTTTTTCCCAGGAGGGCATTTGGCCTTCAGAACAATTGGTCTTGATTGCACTTCACTCGAGTGTTTTCCTGAGGAGTTCCTGGGAAAGAGCCAGGGCAGGAGCAGGATATATGAAATGTTCTAAGGCAGCCTGGCTGCTTATTCCTCAGAGAGGAGCAGGGATTTGCCTGAATGCATCTACTGCTTAGTGCACACCTGTAACTTAGTAAGCAGTGTTATCCTGTAGATTTTGTAAACTGTAGGCATTTGCTTCCCTTCTCTTTTAGAAAATAACATGAGGACTCCGGGGTTATTACATCAGGAGTAAGCAGGATTCTTTTCCGCGTTTTTATCCTGAAACAGTCCTGATCACTTTATCACATTGTCACTATGGTTTTATCTCTAAAGTAGATTACATGCTTTCCACTGATCTGTGAATGCTCTCACAATGGCTTGGATAAGACCTGCTTTGTTCTGCAGATGAAGCTTACTGAAAAGAACATTATTATATTTTTTACCAGAACACAAGCTAATTATAGTTGTACCTATATCATATATATAAAGCTGTCTCTTGGGTATGTGATTTTTAAAATTTTTTTTTTAAGGCAGCTGAGAATGGAGCAACGGGTGTGGAGGTGGATGTTGAATTTACTGCAGATGGTGTTGCCATTCTAATGCACGATGATACAGTGGAAAGGACAACTGATGGGTCTGGAAGACTATGTGACTTGACTTTTGATGAAATTAGGAAGCTTAATCCATCTGCCAAACACAGGCTACGGTAAATGAACTATTGCTATTCTGAAATTACTCCTTGAACAGTGAAAAATACCCTTCTTGAGAAACAGAATTATTGATTTGATCTGTCACTGATGAAAATTTTTGTAAATGTAAAACTTAGTCCCATATGTTACTTTGATTATAGAACCATGTGAGACTATATCTTCTTACCCATTGTTACAATAGGAACAGTGAAGAAGAGTCAAAATAACTGGCTTTCGAGGACAAAATTCCCAGGCATCTGATGTGAAACAGGTCAATCTCTACAAAAGCTGTCCTAAATTGACTGCAGGGCACTAAAGATGCAGGGAGCTTTGTGATACGTCAGAATTGGCTCAAGGAATTGCTTCAAAAACTAATTTTATTTGCTTATATTTCTTGACTAATTGTGCCTTGGGGATTCTAAACATTGTGTTTATACTGTTGAAAAGGAGCTAGACAGATTTTAGATAGTCTCACTGTGACCCTGTGTGCGTATGTGCATGTGTATCTTGACTGCATTCCAGTGAGTTCTCCATTTCTACAGGAACAAATTCCCAGGTGAAAAGGTGCCAACTCTGAGAGAAGGTGTTGTGGAGGCAATGCGTCACAACCTGACAATCTACTTCGACGTCAAAGGCCATGCAGATCAGGTACCACTCCCAAGACACCTTCCCTCACACCTTCTGTGGGTTTCTAACCTGCTGTTGTGTTGGTCTCAAACTGATATGTCTGGTACAGACCCTTCTATAATAAGAGTGGGACTGGGCCTGCTGTTTGTGTCATCCAAAATTGTTCTGGGAAGCTGCAACTTAAAATTAGCACGAGGTGTATGTGTTACCTTCAGCTCACAGCACCACAGTGAAACAAAGCAAACTGAGTTTCCTGCCTGTGCTGGAGGGAGGGAGCCAGAACCTCATCCTCAGCCTCCAACAAGGGACCTATAATTTGCATTACTGAAGATAGATACAGATTATCAGTCATTAACATTTTATGCAAATTAGAACCATTTTTTTCTTTAGCATAGCAAAATACGGAAATACATTCATTTTCCTCTTGAGCTAAACCCTGAGTAGTATTTCAGAATTATATCCACACTATCTTTAAGGGTATTTCAAACACTGAGAATGCTACTTCTTCTTGTATCATAAAGAATCTAGAATCTAGAATAAAAAGGACTTCTGTTGCAAAAAACAAAATGTCATTTCTGTGTTACTGCTATAAGCAAGATGCTATTTTTCTTCTTCCCCCTTTCTATTTCAATCTTGCTACACAAAACTGGAAAGTGTTTGTAAAGGGCATTGTTCTAGAGTGACTCTGTAGTGTAAATATGAATGTATGTATAAATATGACATCTGTGTGTGTCTCTAATTGTAGGCAGTTGATGCCCTGAAACGACTCTACCTGGAATTTCCACAGTTGTATAACTGCAGCATAGTCTGTTCCTTCATGCCAGATGTTGTTTATAAGGTGATGTCTCCTAAACGTTTATTTTGGGTTTTTTTAGTACTGCCTGGTACTTTCAGTATGGGCTACAACTCCCAGTTCCAGGTTACTCTGGGGTTGTTAAAATTGCCAAGAGTTTTAAAAGCAAATGAAGCATAATGCATAATCCTATTAGATCAGTCTACTCATCAAATGCACGTGTGAATCCACTGTAAGTCCCTCCATTCTGAAAGCAATGCAGGAAAAAGTGTGTTGCCATTACAGCTGCTGTGTGGCCAGGTGTCTGTGTGCAAGACACCTGCTAAATATACCTCTTATTTTGAGGTAAACATAGACTATTCTTAAAACTGTTTCCTAACTGTCATTTCCACTGCTACTTACTGTGTATTTTAATCCAGTATATACATTGCATGACTGCAATGGAATTTTTTTAACATAAGAGCAGGTGCTTACTCAGTATGTTTTTTTTTTTAAAAAACAATAAAATCTCATAAACAGCTTTCCAAAATAGTTACAAAAGGACCTGGAGGGGAAGGGGAGAAGGATTCTGGTAGAGCTGCAAACTCCAACTATCGCTTTGTATCTCAAAAATTGTATTTACTGCAGCTGGGCTTGTGGATGAATTCCAGTCTTTTCTCTTTGGTCTTGCAGATGAGACGAGCTGACAGAAATGTTGTGACAGCACTTACACACCGGCCTTGGCATCTGAGTTACTTAGGAGATGGGACACGCCGTTTCAGTTCCTTCTGGAAACACTACTTGCATGTGGGGATGGACATGATTCTGGATTGGAGCCTACACAGTTTCTTGTGGCGATTGTGTGGGGTTTCAGCTTTCCTCATACAGAAGAATTTTGTTTCTCAGTAAGTGTTAAAGCTTGCTCATACACCAGGAGGTATTACCATTCCATTAGGATACAGGGAGGAGTTAACACAGTATGTGCTTATCAAAATGTTCCATTTAGTGTTGGGTAAGGTTGTTTTGATAGTTTCTTTCCTCCATGATATTTTATTATTTTAATCCTCTATCTTTTTAATCTGAATTTTTATCTTATGTTAGATTCTAAGTTTACTCTCAAAGAGGAAAACTGTTGCTTTTGCCTGTTTACAATAACAAAGCACAAAAAGATGATGTTGCACAAGAGGACCCGCTGTCATTCTTGGTGCCATGCTGATGCAAGACTAAAACCCAGCAGCAGCTTCAGCACTGTCTGCCTTCTCTCTGGGGTAGTGTCAACCACCTCTTAGAGTGTCTTCATCCCTTGCAGGGACTATGTGAGTCACTGGTCTTCCAAAGGAATTCAGGTGGTTCCCTGGACAGTGAACACGTTTGCAGAGAAAAGCTACTACGAAGACGTCCTGGAGTGCAGCTACATCACCGACAGCCTGGTGGAGGACTGTGACCCTCACTACTGACCCACCCCGCACTCCCTCCCCAGCCTGTCCATTCACCATCCACAGGGCATCCAGCAGTGCCAATGGAACACCATAACAATGGTTCTGGGAAAAGGCAGGGCAGCAGTTTTATTCTGCCTGTGGTCAAACCTCAAATGCAGAAAACCCTTCTGGGGCACTGGACAGAGCCACCCACAGTCTGAGGGAACTGCTGTGATGTGAAAGAATAAGATTTGACAAGCAAACTGGGCCAAACCTTGTCTGTGCAGGTGGCTTTATAATTCTCTGACTGTTCCTTTGCTGTGTTTAAATTCTGGTTATAAATTCCTATTAGCAATTTTTGTTGCCAAAATTTAAAGTCATACCTTGATTTTACTAATTTTAACAGCACGATCTAAAACTGTATAATAATTTGAGGTTGATTCATGGTGTCTTTAAAACATCTACATTACTGTTCTTAAAGCAGAACCTGAAAGTAATGGTTCCAAAACAGAGGGTGAGTGCATTTCCCTCCCCTGCATGGAAAGGTGCTGCATCCTGACAAGGAAGAAAAAGCCAACTTTCCACGTGGAATGGGAAGGCTATGAGAATTAACAAATAAAACTTGTTTAGCTTCTTATCTTCCAGACTTTGCAAAAGAGCTAAGGGAAGATAGGAAACTGTTTCTTCTAATGACACAGCACATGAATGTATTTATTTTTAAAAGAAAGGTACATATGGAGTGCTGGTAAGAGGCAGAACAAATGGAGCTGACATGTCCTTTTTAGTTTGCTTACTGTTTGCATGATTGAAGGGCACTCAAAGGGTTATGGAAACTGTAATCCAGATATAACTTGAACTCCAAAGAGTCTGCAGTTACAATAAACAAGTATCTGAGAGCTCATGGGAAGGGTATTCTTTTTCAGCTGTGCAGCAGTGCCTTGATGTAAAACTTCAAAATTAGTAGAGCTTCATGCTGCGTTCTGCCAGGGGTGATGGATTTTCTGGTTGTATCTCAAGTTGCATACAAGCACAAAGAAGCACAAAGGAGGTGGTTTTCCTTGTCAGGAAGACAAGGACCTCTTCAGTTCATGTCAGTCATCAACCCTGCACTGCAGAAGCAACAATCTCAGCCTTCTGCTGCCCATCCTCTAGCACATGTACATTATGTCCAGCTTCTGTCCAGCCACTTCAGTGAGTGCTGTAGCCTCTATTGTTACTGCTGAGCCCAACACGAGCTCCCCATGTGGCCACTGAAGGGCAAACAACTTCTTGACAAATGGCCCTTGCTCCAAAGGTCCAGTTTTAGTTGCTGCTGGAGTTGCTGGCACTGCTGAGTCACATCCTCAGTGCAAACACCAGGCCTATACCCAATACTCACAGCCAGACTCCACAGCTAAACACACAGGGAGACAAAAAAATGGAATCTCTGGTCTTGTGTTGTGTGAGAAGTTTGTCCATTTTTCTGTGTCTTTGGTGGCGGGTTTTGGGTTGTCTTTAGCCTAAATTACAAGCAAGAGGAAAAGATGTCCCTTTTTCTGAAAGCATTTTTATGTCCAAAACAATGAGGGAGGAATAAACCAGGCAGTAATAGAAAATGGGCTAAACAAACCAAAATAAATTATGATAGTAAAGTTGTGGCTCTGAATAAAAAGAAGCTGCATTGTGTCTCAGTCATGCATGGTAAAAAAATAAATCTCTATTGTGTTACTTCCAATCAATCCTTTAGGGAAAAGATGTGAAAAATTTTAGTTTACAAGCAGTGGTTTTACACAGATGAGAATTTTGATAAGTAGTCACTCTTAAGAGTTCTGAAAGCTTTTAACATTAAAGCTGCTTTTGAGTGACTGTAATAAACTGTAAAAGTGGCACAGAAAGGTGAAAATGGAATGGAAGTTTAACCTGGTTCACACAAATTATTTCACAGCCATTACAATGTCTGAGTCATTAAAAACAAGTGCACTTTAATTTCCTTCTATGTTTATTTAACCAATACTTTAGGTTTGGTTTAGATCAGATAAAAGCAGTTTTAAACGATATAACTGATACAAAAATACTTTTAAACCATAACTTTTATTTACAATTAGGCACAACTTTCCTTATATTCAGTCAACAACAAGTGGTGTCACTGCTGCAAAACAAACTCATCCCGCAGGACATTCCCTATCATAACAAACGGCAATTGGGATGCATTTTGTTCTAATTTTTTGTCCCATTTAGAGGTAAAAAAAAATGTTTGAGTGATTCTTTCAGTTTTTAGTGCAAAAGTCTGTTGCTTTCTGCAGAACACCAGCCAGTGGTTCTGACTGTGCCTGCTCAGGGATGAAAATCTCCCTCATCATCGTAGTCGTCCCACTGAGCTGCTTCTCTGGCGCGCAGGGCGAGTGCCACGGCCTTGGACACACCACTGCTGCTGGGCTGGGCTGGCTCCCAACCTGTCACCACAGAGGCAACGTTAACTGTGCTGACATGGTGTAACCACCACCCCCATCAGAAAGCCCCGTGCTATTTCAGGGTCTCATCTGCCAAAGTATTTGGAATGAAGTGACGTGATTGTGTAAACCGGGAATAGTTCAAAACTACCACCAAGATCCCGTAGCTTTTTTTATTCTGGACATGATGATGTCCTAGGGACTCTACTCATTATTAACCCCTTCTGAGATCACACCAAGATGTGAAGTCTATCTCTAAAGTGATTTAATGTTCTTGTCTGTGGGTGCTCCTGTAATAGAAAATGGCTCATTTACCCAAGGAAATTCCACTCTCTGGTATACAGTCTTCAGAAGTCACCATCAGCACCAGAACAAGCTACCAATAAACACATCCTATAAAAAATGTTCACCTCAGAAACCCAGTCTTTTTGTTTTCTCTTTATACAAGGTGCTAAAAGCTGTGCCCCTGACATCCAGCTGTTACATGCTGTGTCTGTACAGCAAACATTCTTAGTGAGCTGAACTTCCAAGAGCTTCCTGTGTTTCATCTTTGTTGCTTACCTAAAGGGAGGTCAGTGCCACTCGAGATCCCAGAAGAATAGGGATCCTGAAAACAAAATTCACAAGCAGGTTTAGGTCATGATTTCCCTTGTGTGCCTGTTATCTTCTGTTTAAAAAGATACCAGTCACCTGTAACAAAGCCACACTCTCCAGGTCTTAAGCAGGTTTGTGATTAGGAGTGTTCCAACAGCTGTTCTGATTAGACTTTTATACCTGCTCAAATTAAGGTTATTTCCATGCACACAGGATGGCCTCTTTGCTCCACATACACCTGTATCACACCCCAGATTCTGTATAAGGAGATCCAGCAGGTTTCCCTCTTTAGACCATCTCACCTCTGGGTAGGATGTGTTTTGGTTCCCGTCAAATGCCTCTCCTGGGTAGCCTGGCACTTGCTGGGCAGGTTGCCTGGGTGGTTGGTATGGAGAGGAGCTTCTCTGAAAGACAGAGTTTTTGGCATTAGCAGTCTGTATTCTGGCTTCCAGTCACGATTGTATGGTCAGCAGTGCTCACACCCTTGCTTTAGGGAGTTGGCCTTTCTACTAGATCCACACTGAGATTATTCTGGCATCTCCTTTTGAAATCTGACCTTAACAACTACAAGAATATCCACATTTCATAGGCTACCAAGCCCTCCTCTCAGGAGTCCCACTTGTGACACTGGACACGGCCACTGGTTGGTTGAAAATCCCCAGCACACAGAAAATGCCCATTCAATTTCAGTTCCCCTCTTTACAGCCAATATTTACTTACATTGTCACACACGTATTTATATTTAACAATAGATCAATATCAACTGTTATCCATATTTATTTATTTTACTTATATTATCACTTTAATGATGGCTGGTCATACAGGGGGATTTGTTTTTTGGGAGGAAAGAGGGGAACCTACCAAAAACTTTTTCTCTACCAGTATGTAGGTCAAGGAGTTTTTACTCAACACAAAACAGTAGACAGCACCTACATGTGCACATTTTTACATTAATTTGGTTGCTCAGTGGACAGGACTGCCTTAAAAAATAAATTTTAAGTTTAAATCAGATGCCTATCGATGTTGTATGGGATTTAAAATGGGGTTAAATCAAAGCACTCAGCTTTACCTCAGTTGAAAAAACCACAAACTATAAAACCCTAAGGAAAACCACAGTCAGGGAAGGAAGGCAGCCTCATTCTCAGCCTAGGCAAGGTTCAAGTGTGGTTGATCAACAGTGCACGCTTTAAGAATGTTTTCTTAGAGTTTCATAGTTGTAAATTATGTCTGGTGAGGGTAAGGACTTTTCTATATCCTTCCCAGGTTAAATTCTGGCCTGGAAAAAATAGTTGGGGAACTTTCAGAGTATCCTTTTGCTGTCTGGAGTTAACTAGTAATCAGTCAGTTTGCATGAAATTTTAAATACAGACATATCTCTACAGGGCAGCCTCTTTGCAGGGCTGGAGGAGCCCCAGGGAATCAAACCAAGCATGTAAATTAAACAGCAGTACCTGAACAGGCAGACTGACCTGCTGGCCTTGTCCTCTCAGTGCAGATGGGTTTCGCTTTGCCCTCTCCAGTGCCCGTAGTTTTTTAAGTAAAAACATCTTATCTTTTCCTGCCTGTGGTCGAGACATATTAGATCATTAGCTGGAATGGACTAATCATTCCTGAGAGGCTCAAGGCCTGTAAGTAACCACTGATCAGAATAACTCCTTTTATCCTAAAATAATCCGTCTACAGAGGGAGCCGCAGCAGCACATCTGGAAGATACAATTCTTTTGCAACAACTCTGTTTGTGAGTTGAATTTCTCTGCAGCTCCCATGAGGAAGGTCTCCCACCCTCCCTTACATGTTACAGCTCCACAAAGCTGGATGAGACAGTCAACAAAGAAGCCAAATTATAAAAAAAGATATAGGTGAAGGTCAAACTTACATTACTAATTTGCTTACGTAAGAATTTGGTCATGGTCTTTCTTCCTTGTATTATTTGCCAGTAAAGATAAGTAATAATTCTAAACAAAACAAAAAAGTCCAACATAAGAGCTTTTCCTCGTAGTCATTGTCTAAACAGAAAATTATCCTGATACTTTAATACATTAAAAGACATACCTGCACCCATCTCTACACATACACGCACACATAGATATATAAAATAGATGTGTACAATTACACAAGGAATGGCAAACACATGAAATTGCTTAAAACATTCTCTTGAAAAAGACCCAAAGATCTAAGGACTTGTATTAAATATGAGAGGTAAAATTAAATAAGTCAGCAATACAAGGTGCATTTCATGTAACAAACAGCAAACTAATGCTCTTATCCAACCACCACACCCTCCCAGCCCAAACAGGGAAAGGAAAAAAATAAAAGGAAGCCCAAAAACAGGAGGCCCAAATAAGAGAGGCCCAAAACTCCCCTAACTCCACACAGGGTTAGCTTGAAGCTGATATGTAAAGAGCTTTGGTATTCTAACATAATAGGAACAGGTTTTATAACTTCTTTATGTACTTCAAATACATGAATTTCCAATATATTAACTATTTCTGATGCTTTAAAATGCACTTTACAAGTATTTTTTTTTATGAAGAAGGGCTATGTCATTGCCAGGTTTTTCCATTTCAGGCCCTTTGCCGGTGCTTTTCATTAGCAGGTACTTACAGTACAATGCCAGAGAGGATGAAGAAGAAAAGTTCACTTGTAATTAAGTTGTGGTAGATCCACACAACCCATTTTGAGGCAGTGTAATTGTCCAGAGTGTGTATCCACTCAGACACTGCAGCATACATAGAAGACAAGCCTCTGAAAGGACCACATCCTTCTGAAGGTTTTAACCTGAAAGTGTGAAAAAACCAGCTACTTAAAGCTTCACATATTAACCAGTGTTTTAGTCAGTACTGTGATTTTTGTACATCAAGATGCTCATCAGT